TTTTATTAATCTTTGTTTTTTCTTACTATCTACATAATTGTTCTTTTCACGTTTCATTTTTCTATCATCAATATCATCAATTTCTACTTTTAATTGCTTACTTCACTTTCCATTATACTCCATCATATTCATCTTATTCTTCACATGCATACTATCCCTTTGATTCCTTTTGATCTCCACCACTGATTCACAATCATGAGCAGAATATTCATCACAGCAAGACTTTTTATCATGGAATTTATGATATTTATTATTTTTTATATTTTCATCATGTGTTACTTCGACACTTCCTATTTCACTTCTAACGATTTCTGCTCTACCATCTGCAGCTTTATCCTCATTATCACAACTTTTGACTCCAACCTCATTATGATATACATTAGATGCCACATTCCTATCGATTATCTTTCCTTTATCGAATACTAATCCTTGATCGTCATCCAATTATCCCATCTCTTTAACATTTCCACCAAAACTTCTATTAACGTATCTATTTTTATAACTATATTCAACAGTATTTCTATTAATACTATTGCTTCATCATTTAGGTATTGTTCAACATTATTTGCTCTATCAATATTACTCATATCATTAGATTTTCGATATTGAGCAAATACTTTATATTCATCACCTTTAGTATCCCATCCTTCAAGCCCATACGTTGTATCAGCATTTTCAAGACTATGTTTGGTGATTATTATGTCAATATTACCTATTTCAGAGATTTTATACTCCAGTCGAATATCATTATTTTATCTTTGTTTGTATATATGCTATTTTGATAACATGATCTATGATCATTATATCTATTCGAACCTCTATCTTCAGAAGATTTTAACCACCACTCTACTGCTTCGATATCTTTTGATAGTTTATGCTCGTTCTTTTCATCTCTGATCACATTCTGATAACAATTTTCAACAACATTTTGGTGACAGATAAGTGCTTTATTTTTGTCTTTTTCATTTTTATCTTCTTTGTTATCAAGATATCCACCACTCCATGATTCATTAATGTTTTTTTATCATCAGGATTATCATGACCCATATCATCCCAGAACTATTTGAATAAACTTGTCTCACAACTTGGTGCATCAAGCTTCAGGTCTTTGTTGGATACTTTATTTCCATCCATATCAATGTGTCTTCTTTCTCTGCACTATCATCCGAATACCACCATACTAAGTCTATTTCGTAGACCGTTAATACAATCAATTGGCAAGATTAATGGTAATCTGCCCAGGTTCTTATGTTATGGGTTAATAGAATCCTTTGGTTACTAACAATCTAGCTCAAAAGTAAGCACTTCTCTAGCCGATGACCTCGATACCTTGTTACTTCGATTAGGGTAAGTATTTTACTTTTTACAATTTATGTTTGCAGGTAATAAAATTATTAATTCACTTTATTTCACTTGTGTCTTTAAATACAAATTTTTACTATCGCTACATTACATAATTATTGATCACGCCATTTTACCTTTTTAATTGTTTATTACTAATCATGCTATTTTCTATTAACTCTATTATGACATTTTTCATACACCGTTTATTAATTTAATTCATGTATATCGATAACCTTACTTCAGTAACTATTATGTAATACCAAAGGTTGCATAATTGATCATTATTCAATTCTTAATTCCCGATCACATACTCATTACGTGCATCATGTGCACAAGATAACGAACGATCATTCATTTTACCTTTATTTCCATACAAGTTATACTGTATTACCATGACAATATTATAAGTATAATAAAATGCTTTTTATTCATTATTACAAGTATTTAGCCAATTTGCAAGAAGAGTATATCCACTAGATATATGTGAAATATTTAGTTGGTAAGTACTATTAATCTAGTTAATAGAGGATTATATTAAATAGGTATAGGTAGTTTGTTTTTGAGTAATATTTTAACTTGACAAATAATATTATCAAGCTTTTTAAGATATTTATGTAATAGTGATGCTTTGGGTAAATATATATATTAAAAGTTTTATACTGTGAATTTTTTATTAGAAATATATTGTAAAGCAGCATTAATAATATTGGTTTGTATTTTGTATCAAGTGTATTCAAAAGTCTTTGAAGTATTTATAGATAATAGAGTCTTGTTAGCTCTAAGATTAGAAAAAATTTGGTTTGAATATATTTGCTATTATTTATTGTTTATATTTTTGTAAAAAAATATTCTTCTTTGAGTTTTTGTTATCATTCTGTATTTGCCTATAAAGGTATAAGAGAATGTTCATAAAGTGATTAAAATTTTGTGGTCACTTCTAGTCCTAGTATTGGAATCATCTATATCAAATAAGGTTAGATAGTAAAGAATTAAATAGTTAGTTCAGATTTAATCAATAGTGCTATGAGATCTGCTACTTTACTATATGCTAGTTGATGATTGGATATGAGTAGCCAAATTGTATATATTGTTATATTAGAGGTATTGCAGTAGTTTGTACTTAATTGAAAGAAAGTGTGAGTTGTCTTCAGAGGTATTGAAGTCTCCTAAACAATAGTTTGTAAATTAGCTATATTTACTTGTTGTATTCATTGTATAATAGTATTTTGTATTTGTAGTTTTAGTTGAAGATTGTCACAAGGTAGATATACTAAAATAATCCTGAACTTAAAGTCATTTTTAAAGAAAATATCTGTAGCAATTATATATCCTAGAATAGTAAGAATTTTATAGATATAAGATTTGATCCAATTGTTAATCATAATAGCTATACTAGCTTTAGAACTATTAGTACAAAACTAGTAATATATAAAGTATTTAGATTTTTGTAGTTTGATAATAGGATTTTTTTTTCCCATTTAAAGGCTGGGTACTATGGCCGATTTTTTATTATGAGTCAATGTAATATTTGTTACATGAGCAAGGATACAACTAGCCACATGTGCACTTTTGGTGCCTAATTTAAGTAGTCTACCCAAAGGTTCTATACTAGCTGCCATATCTACAACCCAACTATAGAAGTTGCCTATTTAAACCCTCTGACTTACGATCCTCCTATTACTAACCTGATTTACTACATATTTTTGATAATAGGATTTGTGTTAACTATTTTAGTTTTGTAATACTAATGATATTTAAGTTATTGAAGAGACAAAATCTTCCTAGACTTGTTGCTTAAGATCAACATTATATTCTTGTATATTATGTATATATATAGATAAGTTGAGTGCTTGGATAGATTCAGAGTTGCTTAAATAATCATTAGTAATTTGATTTAAATTAAAAATTGTTTGTAGAAAAGTAGAAGAGATAGAAGCAAAGATAGATATATTTGATTGTGATTTTAAAGAAATATTTTTTTTTTTTTGAATATTAATGGTGAGACCATGTCTCTAACTTTATTAAAATTTAATTTGATTCTTCTATAATGAAAAGGAAGTCCTTACAGAGAAAAAAATCTATTTAA